CATAGTTACGAATCATCATTTTATTTACATTCAGAACTGGAGTCGTTTATGTGCATTATACAACATTGTTTTACTTTCTCTACAGATGAGATTCTATTAAAATTATTTGCTTATCAAAATTTGTTCAATTTGTTCATGACATTTCAATTAAACTGGACAAATATTAAATTAACAAAATCAGAACATTTAGACGGAGGTAATAAAACGAACAGTTAGTCCAAATCACTGTGAAGATAGGATAGGTAGGTGCAATTTTCTCCCAGTTACTTTATTTTTAAATTAACTAATGCTCTTCATGTCCGATTCCATACATAATTTTAAAATTTCTAATTTTGCAAATGTACCATTACATTTTTGTTAAAAGGAAAAAGATGAATAATTCTTCTCCAAACATTTGTTGTGCATTAAATCAGATTGTCTGTTTCAATTTTTAGGGCACTTTGATCTGACAAATGGATATTTAGACTACAATATCAACGAATTTAGAAGCACATGTAGCAATATTAAGAATAAAATAGAAAGACTAAATTAAAACCTGATACTACCACAATATTCCTTCACAATACGAAATTGAGCCTTTATGAGAAGGTACAAAAATAAATGAAATAACTTCAACTGGAATTTTAAAAGCGAAGCAATATGTACATAATCGTGATTAGATATAGGTTTCCCAGAAGGAGTATTTGGATTTGAATTTAGTGTTGGTTTCAGAATGGTATAGCTTTAGGAAAGAAATAGTGAGTTTAAAATGTTGCGAAGGTAGAAGAAAAGGCAGTTTATCCAAGCCTCAGTAGTGAAGAAGATATAATCTTCTCGTAGTTTGTTGTTAATATTTAAGTAAATAATGGTCTTCATAACAAGTCTTGTTACCTGTTTTTAATTTTGCATAATACTTTTATCAACAGAAAATAGATGCATACTTTAGTATGTATGTGTTCCAATATTTTTTTTCTATGGTATATGGTTATACACCATAAACGAAACGAGATATATTTTATATCTTGTGATGATTACACAGAACGAAAAAATTTTAACTATAGCAGTAAAAAATAATATATTTTTATTTAATAACAACAACACAAATGTTCTGTAAATATTAATAATTAGACATACCTTCTCTTATGTTCCAATTATAGATAAAAAATTATATAACCAAATATGACATTTCATTAATAACACAATTTTAATTTATGTGATGCATTAGTGTTAATAACCACATTATTTTACCATTTCGTGTCTAACCTCTAATCAAAATCATCTCTAAATTTTCCTAATATCTTTATTATGTAACATAATTAAATACATTGACACTAAATTCCATATTATGCAGGTGACTCTAAAAAAAAACACTTTAAGCGCAATGGTATAATTAAAACTTATTAGCGAAGATTCTTTATTTATTTTCCCATGCTTTCATGTTAATAAAAATTATAAAGAGACGATATATGTCTAAAACGTAAAATGTAACCAATCAATTTGCATACCAACATTATGCGAAATTGAATATTTGGCTGATTCCGGCCCTTCGTTCCAGCGTCGCGGTGCCTCGAGACGCGCGAACGCTTTATAAATATACTACACATTTCTTATCAATCGAGTTCCGGCTTACCAGGGTCTAACGACTCTTTGATATTCCATCAATTCATCAGACTGATTCTTGGAGCTCCTTTACGGATCTTATTCGCGCTTTGCCGACGATTTATCTCAATCTCCAGCAACTATCTCAAAGGTGTCTGATCATTTTAACACGTACCTTTCTCTTCATACGGAACAGATACTACATCTCGAGTTTTATATGTAGGTCAGCGGTTAGCTATTCCAGACCCATACACTGCAAGCCCCATAAATATTAAGTGATAAATTTTATGATGAATCGATAACCGATTTCTATATTGTAATAGGTCAGTGCGTTTTTTCGCATATAATGGACTGTGCTTTTTACTATGTAGGGCATAGCAACACTTTAAATGTATGGCTGTAAGATAAATCTTCACAGCAAACAAAAACAAATTTGGTAGGAGAGAGGTTTTATCTGTTCTTGGCTTCTCAAGTTTGTGTAAATATCTCAAAATGTTTATGTGTGGTTATTTTAAGCACTTATCTAAACACCATTTGTACGAGAGTATCACAAATATTAACTTCAATTAACTTAAAACAAACAAAAACGCAAGAACAAAATCTCTTTCCTATATATTTGTATACATATATTCTATAATAATCCTGCATATGTGAGAAGTAGGAGTTTTTAATTGTTGTTTAAAGATAGATGATAATTCTCCATCGCTGCTTATGAATATATAAATGGTGTCCTAAAAGAAACACACGATTTCACATGAGGAAAAAGATTTTGTTAATTAAAAAGTTGTCAACACAGACAGATATCCTCTGCGACTCATTTGGCATATTCGACTTCTTTTAAGAAAACTTTGTATCACGCTTTTCCATACCTGTGGCTGAATTTTGAGAATAACTCTTCGAATTTCTGCCTTTAATTGAGGATTGGTATTAATTTGATCGCATGATTTGGTGTCCAAGTCACTTTACCATTTTACTGTTACATGAGATGAGTTGTCCATTAAATTTCTACCCTAACAAGTGGACAGTTTCATGTGTCATATGGCAGGTGGCACCACCATGCTGCTGGAACCACATCCAAATTCATGCCATCAAAATGAAGCCGCAACAAATTGGTAGCATCTATCGACATCGTTCTCCATTGGCAGTCACGTATCCAGCCCCATTTTCAAAAAAGAATGGACTATTTACCCCACCAGCGTAAAATCCACACCACACAGTCACTCTTTGAATATACAGTAGTCGTTCGACAATTTTGCTTCTTCACATACCAACTAAGATGGAAATATGCCTCATCGCTGAAAACCGTCCACCTGTAGATTCTCCAACATCTAATCAACGAATTTTCGGCGCATTGAGTGATCGTCTGGTTTCGATGCCTGGGCTAGCTGAATCTTGAATAGATACAGATGTAAGCCTTTTGTTAAAAAAAGTACGAGCCTGTTTTTTTGTTAATTGCAACTGAACCTATTTGTCTAAATTTGGTAACTAATCTTTTCATAGTCGTTTTATTCGGGACGTTTTTTCTACCGCAAATTCCACGTAATTTGCGCACAGCCTCAGCTATACACTCTTCCTACTGATAATGAATTTTCACAATCTTCACTATCACATCCGTCGTATTGGTCTCCATTTTGTCTACTAACTCTTCGGAAAAAATGGAGCACAGTTCAAATTCTGAGTTATTTTTGGGACACCCTGTACATGTTTTATGTTTTTATTTATTTACTGTTCACTTTATTTTACTCTTATCAAGACACGGTAACACGTCATTTATTATTTATTAGAGAAATTTTTACTGCTACAATCTCTTTTCTCGGTAACATAAAAACTTGGGCCCGAATTTAAGTTCAAAGCTATTAACCTAACAGGTTTAAAAATTGCTGTTACGAAAAAAGTCCGTCACTTTAGAAGTCATTTAAAATTAGGATATATTATTTTTAATACCAGGAATAGCAAAACACAATATTTTTTTAATGCATAATGCTAATGCTATTAATGCAACATATATTAACAAAATTAATTTATTTATCTGTTTTTTTATATTCCAAAATATATATTTTATTGCAAAATATGCGCTATGTTAACATTGTGTTCACTTTTCCATGCCAATTTGCTGTCGTAATAGTAGAAAAAATAGTGAAATTTAAATGGAATTTTATAAATTTATTAATATATTAACGATTTTAGTTTTTTTATTAAAATATGCTTTTTAATGACACATTTTCAAATCTACAAAACTTTTTGTAGTAATGTAATTTAGTTGTTGTGGGAGAAAGTGTCTTTTTATTTATAATAATTTAAATAAAAATATATGTATTTTACATACAAAAAAAAGAAACTGAGAGGATCATATCTTAAAATTTAAAATATTTTGTACACTTTGTAATAAAGCGCAGTTTCCAAAGGAATTTCAGCAACATATGGAATATGAGCTGAACTTTTCACTGCCAGTTAAAGAAGTAACATTAACTAATCATATTATGCTAATCCAACAATGATAGCAGTCTAAGTCTGATTCAGACAATCTTGAGAGATTAGAAAACTGATTCGTCGAAGAAATCGATTACCTGTTCTCAAAATAGAGATCTAAGGAGGCGTCATTCTTATGGTGATCAATACAATATAATATGACAATATAAGACTAATGTCACTGAAAAGATATTATCTCTAGTATAACTAATACTTAACGAATAATAATAAGTCCATTCAATATTATTCTAATTTATTATGTAACTCTCTACTCATTAAAATAAAAATATATTGAACGAAATGTAGATATAAAAAAATTCTATTTAAAATGATAATATGCAACCAAAGTAACGTAGCTTACTTAAAAAATTGGGAAGTAAAAGAAGCAACTAAACATAAAGTACAAAACCAACGTAATAACAAATTAAATTTTGGATCTTCAGTACGGAATAGTGGAGTGGGTTGAAATTTATAATTATATTATTCTATTTATGCTTCTGTTATATAATTTTATAATAATATAAATCATCTGGAAAAAAGATTTTATCAAACATATGTACAATAAAACCAGAATGTAATCTACTGAGTAATTAATAATTATAGGTACATTATTTAAAATTTATATTCCTTTCATTTTCATTTATTTTTTTTTCTAATCTTTTTTTGAACCATTGTTAATAAACTTTAATGAAATACCTTTTAATACTGGTATATACTCCCCAAGATAAGTATTAACATCAAAGTGTTTCAATATATTTCCAATAGTGTTATGACTTATTAGTTGTAAGCTACATAATATGAACTTATTTTATAATAATTATTTGTATATACATTTTTATACCGACAGTAATTCATGGGAAATATAACCTTGATTTGCTTGCTCAGGAAATAAATTAGTATTATTATTAATACCCATATTTTTTATACAATCGTAAAACCATTTTATTTTTCAGGTTAACTACGTCAGAGTACCTACCAGAGAGAACTACTCCATTTGGTAAGTGTACAACTAAAATATCGTTTTCTAATTTGCTTTGCATTTATATGGTGCATCAATTGGCACACTTGATTTTCTAAATTAGGCTCTATAAGAACTATATCTCAAGCAAAAACTTGCGAAATACCCGGTAGGAAGAAGAAAATAATTAAGTTTACTACGACCATAGTTGCCATTTTAAGATTTATTGCTTCCTTATTTAAGGTATAATGAAGTTGATTGGCTTAAAATTCCTCGATTGTAACTGTTTCACTTTTTTTATAAAGAGAAAAAGATGTTACTATACCATTCAGCACAGTGCAATCAATAAAATCAACATACATATAGAAAAATACAGTACTTATTTGTCATATTAATATTAATAAAGTTTTTATGTTGTAGGTATAATAAATATATATTTATAAGTATTTCTTTTCTCTACGTATTTTCATAAAATTTCTTGAAATGTAACTGGTTTTACAAATTAATATTTCTATATTAATATATTTTCATATCTGCTGGACATACATAGTTTGTTGTCATCATTGATTATTTAAAAAAATGTCTTAGCTGATTTGATTAAAACATCAATTAAAATTTATTATTTTTGTGCCTTTATCGTAAAGGGTATAAAAAAATTTACATTATTGTGCTACAGCTGGTCCGTCCCTGGCAAATCAAATAAGCCAAATTAATTTCATGGGCCAACTTTTAAGGAGTCTTATCTGTTGTCCACAGCATTAAAAAATAATTGAATTAGACAAAGTATTTTAAAGGTTACTAAAAGAAATCGATTTTTAGGGTAGTTGTCATGTTATTTTAACGTTTCCTGTATACATTCGAGAGATTGCCCACATATTCTGGAATACCCTGTATATAAGATATTTAAGTTTTTAATTTTACAAACTGACCATAACATTTTTGTTTACATAAACGAACGAATTATTTTAAAATTATTTTTTCGACATTAGAACGGATCATGCGTTTCAACTTTTGGGGTATTGATTGATCTGGAAATGAAGATATAGATTACGAACTCAACTTACAAGCACCTGTATCGTTATGAGTAGAAGTCTTAAAAATAAAATAGATAGACCAAATTACTACTTTGTAATACCGATTCTTTTCCAATTTTATAGCAATGAAGATACTGAAATAGCTTCAAGTGGAATTTTAAAAGCGAAGCAATAGAAGGTGTACATAATTATGATCAGAAATAAAATATATATTGTCAAACTGTATCTAGAGTTAATATTGTAATCAGTATTATAAGCCATGTAACAGTACCCGTAGTATTATACTCCTGTAATTATCCTAGTTGTTTGTGCATAATATACGACGGTAATAGTGTGATTGCTCGGGTGTCTTGATCTAAATATTGCAGACTAAACCTCGGTAATGATGGAAAGGTTCAGTTTCATTCCATGTTCAAGAACACCATAAATCTTTGTTAATGAGCAGCATTTAATATTAGCGCTCGCTTTGTGTTCTAATAATCATGACAACTACAAAGACGGATCTTCTTGAGACAATAAAATTTTCCAACTAAAACTATTGAAGGAATCTTCAATACGCAAAGATTAATAAAGGAGGAAAGAAAAGAGAAAATTAAAAGAAACGAGAAGTAAATAACTAAGGATAAAGAAGGGAGAAATTTAAATTCAGCTATTGAAGGAATAAGGAGGGAGCACAAAAAATTGAAAATAGAAAACTTTATGTTTATTGCACACTATTTTCGTCATATCTCTCTTCTTCTTAACACTTATCACCTTGCTGTACATAAATTGTTGAGAGGTTAATCTGAATCCTGGGTTAAGAGATTTCATTAATAATTTCATAGTTTTCGCCGGCTGTCAAACTTGCACGATCGATCACCTATGACAATGAAGAACTTCCCCAGAAGTTAGAAATATTTCATAGAACACGCAACATCATGTTGAAAAGAAAATGGAAACTATTATGTATAACAAAGACTTCTGGTTAATATAAGGATGTATTTTAATGGTAAGAAAATGAAAGTCACATCGGACGGAAAAGTCATTGCTGCTCTTCACGGAGAACAATAAAGAAATTATGTCTTAAAATGCTTAAGTAGTCGGAGGAATTTTCATTCTTGTATTAATATTAATGACGAAGTTAGTAATGCGTATATTCTGAAACTTTCTCCAGTCGAGTAAACATATAAAATAATGGATACGGGATGTAATTTAGATACAATTGAATAATTAAAATATTTAATTTGACATAGATGTAGGGAGTTACAGATTTCAATTATTTCCTCCTTCCACGCGAGCTCATTTGTCTCAGACAGCTGAGAGCTGTTGTTGTAGTTTCGTGTTGAAATCAAATTTATATTCTTTGTTTCCCATTTTTAGACATTTGCCTATTTTTACTCAAATAACTCAATTTTTTAAAAATTCATAACGCATTTTTTTAAGTGGTAAACACCAATTTCTATGGTATTTTTCAACCCGCCATAATGGGTTCGCCGTTTTTTAATTAAGAAATTTCCGAATTAAAACCTTACATTCGTGACTGGCGACTTTGAAAACCACCGAGTAACAAATTTCAGCCATAATCTTCAAATTTTGAATGCTTTTCCGATTTTTACATCCGCCATATTGGATCCATCGTATTTTATTCAGGAATTTTCGGATTCGGATTTCAGAATCGCAATCAGCGATCCAAAAAACCTGCGGTAACAAAAGTATTGAAAGTTTCAAATTTTGAAATAGATATAGACTTCATATTTACTACCTCGTAAGACCTCTAAAATACAAATAATACTATTCAAAAATTTACCATAGCCTCGAAGAACCTAAATGCTTTTATAATATTTTGGACATTTTAATGTATTATAACAAATGTAACTTTTATGCAAAAAAACTAATGACGCCAATTTAAATATTATTTTATTTAGTAACTGAAAATAAATGCAGTAAATTATAATGGATTTAGAGCTTTATTTTATTTACAAATGTTTAATATTTAAAGTACTTACAATGAGTAGTACAGTGGCTTTATTTGGATTTTATATTTTGTTTCCCACAGTAAATTCATTGACAATATAATAATAAAGCTTTACAGTTTTAATGAAAACAGCAATACAAATATTCATAATTAAACCAGACAGCATTTAAACGAGAAACCTTACAATTTTCATAAAAAATGTATTAAAGGGTAATATACTCGTATTAGTAGGTAGTTTATGAGAATACATTTAGTATTAAGTAATAAAAATAATTTAGTACTGTCGAAATTAACACCTAGGTGTAAAAATTCATAAAAAGTGTTTTTGAATAATATAAAGATCGTTATGTTGAGTTATGTACTTGAAGTCAGTAATACTTAACTAATTTCCTCTTCCTACTTCAGCGTTTGCATATGTATACAGTGTGTGTCACGATTTTGTCCTGAAGACCAATCGCTTTCTTATACATGTTGTCATTAGTTTTCATGTTTTTACTTTACTTTAAATGTGATTCAAACAAATTCAAAAACTTCTTCTGAAAATGCTGTCCAACGAAATCAAATGTTCTTCGATACCATCACAGAAAAAATTCTTAACTAATGATACAGCGGGGAAAGAACAACAACAAAAATATACATATATTAAACAGTTAATTAATATTTACTTAAAAAAATGTTATATTATTTATACAAAAACACATGCATACAAGGCATTTCCACAAAATAACAGTAGGTATTGAGAATCTGTGGTTTTATTTTCAACACTGCATTCAAGATGAATGTGTTGGAAGCAGAACGCGTGGTCATTTGTCTCAGTCAGTTGATAACTGTTGTTGTAGTGGCGTATTGAAATCAGTGCCGTTAATCCGAATCCCGCCAGGTGCGAGGTGAGGAACGTAATCCTATTTCATCTTGCAAAATATTTTATAATCTTGTTCCAACAACACCCATAACAAAGATCAACATTTAAAAATGTTTTTGCAATGACACAACCTTGGCAAAGTAAAATATAAAAATAGAAAACTAGAAATCTTTCTATTGGGCTAATTTCACTTATTCTTTCCGTCAAGGGTGATGTAAAGTAAAAACATTTGGAAAAACACATTTAAAATAAAGTGAAAACATTTGGAAACTTTCTATGAACTATATAGTGCGATACGTCTTCTTCCTCAAACGCGATATATCAAAGGTCCAGAATATGATCTAACAACAAAAGTTTGTAATGGAAAACAGTTGTAACGAACAAAGTTCTTCGCTTTATACATTGTTTTCCTTGGCGGTCAGCCGGGCTTTTTTGTGTAACTTGGTAGGTCACGTCTCCTTCTTTTGTAACGAAACCTCAATCGTCCCCGTCTCACATAATTGTCTGTATCTTCAACGATATATGTAAGCAATAACTTAGTCAACATCGCTCCTTTATCTGCTTATACATAACTCAGTCGGTTAGGAAACTCTACGCACGTATTCTGCCTATAAAAGATTTACGCGATATATTCTTGACGATCATTATGTATGCGCTAGACATTCCCGAGGGGCGTTTTGGTTTGTCTGTGAGAAATAAACTTAGTTGAATAAACAGTTCGGCTAGACAATCGCTGTAAACACTTGGACAGTGAAAAAGTTACAACTTCATATATAAGGCATTCAGCAGTAGAGATGGAAAACAAATGTTGGAGTCTGAAATTCAATCGTGTTCAATTAAGAGTACGTTTTGTACTATTACGGTTTTGCATGTTCGCACAGAAAACAATTGCAAGAATATACAGTAATGTGGTACTGCCCCTTCATGTAAAAATTACATACCTGTCTTGACTAACATACAGGGTGTTAAAAAAAGAGTGTAAAATATTTAAGGAGGTAATAGTATGAACCAAAATAAGCAGAAAAGTCTCAATAAACATGGGTCCGCAAAGTAACGGTTGCGGAGATATGGAATGTTTTATGTTTTTTAGCCCCTTTTTTTATTTTGCAAAAACGTTGTGTATTTTCTTATAATAGTTGGTTGATGTTTAGTGAAATAAACAGTACGTATTTGACAGTTGTTCTCAGTG